AATGTGATGTAAGACAGGAAGGCTGAAAAGTAACTTCAACGTTTTGAAAATCCACTATGAAAAATCAGAATCAATCTTCAGTCATTTATTATATAGTGTCCAGACTTCTAGGGCTTCCAATCGTTTACTTCGTGTAAAACTGGTCTTTTTTAACTAAAGTAAGGTAAATGTTTGCCTTTTATTTAAAAATTATCATAAATAAATGCCTCAATCATAAGCCAAACAGATGCATGGAAATAACTGGTAAAAGTTTGATAATATGTGATACCAGTCTCCAAGTACGTTGTCAAGTTGCGTTTTCAAAATAACCAAGTCATTAAATAGTGTCCACTGGTCGGTCATCTTTTTTCTCCCTTCCTCACGCAACAAAATTTAAGAGAAATGAATGATCGCTAGGCGAAACTAATAGCTAACGAGCAAGCCTACGCTGGAAAATATATGTCACTTGTATCGTGTATCTAACCTATAAACTAATGGAAGTCATTGTCGCAAATCTATAGAACGTTTACAAGACTTTTTTAGTTTTCTCAAATACGGGAARATTGTGAGTTCAAAAAGAAAAGCAATGCCGTCGAAAAAGAAGAAATACAATGCACGTTTTCCCGCAGTACGTAGACCAAAAGCAAATTGCATCAACATAATGTAAGTGTTTAMAAAAACTGTTTTAGGGACGCATCAAGAAAATTATGCAAACAGATGARGAGGTGGGAAAAGTCGCACAGGCAGTTCCAGTTATAATTTATATCCTTTTTATAATGTTGGCTTTTTTGTTTAGTGTTTATGCCTATAATAGCACAGCCCCACAAAATGTTGGTATAACCTTTTGAACTAGGTATTCTCAAACATAGTTTATTTTTATTTTACATGTTTGTGTATAAGTAAAGCTAATTGTTTTTGTTATCCTGCAGGACCGATAGTTAGTTTGTCGAATTGACTTTTGCAATGTATTAATGATTTCCCTACTGCCTTGGGACTAAATCATCTGTTATCCGAGCACACCCCCTGCAATTGCTTATCTGTTTCTAGGCTGCATTAGAATATTCTTCATTAATCTGTCGGTAATCTTAATTATAGTTCGCTAATAACTAGCCAGCAGGTCAGTGAGTAAAACAACAGGGCGTTGCTTCACTCGTGATAGGATCAGTTATCCTATCACGAGTGAAGCAACTGATAGGATAACTGAGGCACTCAGAACCATAGTGGCTCAACCCTACCTCAAATCAGGTGGGTTCGGCCAGTATGGAACGCAAACTGCAAGCAATATTACTTGGTTTTAAAATACAGTTGAGTCCGGATATAACGAACTTGAAAAATGAACTAAAACTGGTTCGTTATATCCGGAGTTTGCTATACGCGAATAATAATACAAAAACACGTGGTGTATTTTATTTCGTTATTTTTACATAGAGTAGTAGAGGTTAGAAGGTATGACTAAAAAGAACACAAAAAGATAAACAAAATTCAATTTGAAATCTACTTCATAAAGTCTGTAATTTTTGTTTGTACATTTCTGCTGCAAAAATAGATGTTATTTATGTAGTTTTCAAGATCACAAAATGACTCCCAGATATGATTAGGAACTTGGCGTGATTGTAGAAAATTCCGAGTTTCTGACACGTTTTTTGTCATTTCAGAAATGGTTGGAACAGCATTAGTGTCTACAGTAGAATACGTTTCACCTAAATCGTCATCTTTCTCATTATCGCTTTATTTTGTTAATAATCTCGTACTTTTCATTTAGTGAAAAAGCTTTGCGTTTTTGTTTTTCCATTCTAAAACGATTTACATACATAACGCAGCAAAAAACAACAAGTCATTGGCTGTCTCTCGCTCTCACTAATATAAACAACTCCCCAGGATTGATGTTGCTGAGCGTGGAAGTTCGTTATAAACGGAAAGTGAATATACAACTATCCTAAAAAGTGATCGTTATATCCGGAAGTTCGTTATAACCAGTAAAAAA